GTAGGGCTTATATTTTCAAATCAAGACCCCCAAATTTCACGATGATCTGATTTCACGATAATCCGCGACATTTATTATTTCTGATTATTTTTTATTATTTTTTGCATAATAAGTAATAATAAGTAAGAATTATGATATAAGCAAAAAGCTTGATCCGATCAGCAAAATTTTGAGTTTAAAATTTGCCTTCCAGTTTATATTTGTAAAACGTGATAAGTAATAATTATTCGCATAGAGAATAATTAGTAATAATATGTATATGTATTTATTAGAGTAAAAAATAAATAATTATTACTTACATTATTATCTTGCCTATCTCTATTTAGGCCACTTTTTTTTTAGAATCTGAAAGAATTTTAATAGTGAATTTATTAATTGGGATACCCAGGCTGCTTTTTGTAATTCTCAGAATGCTTCTGAAAATACTAATTAAAACATATGAAAAAAATCTGTAGCTGCCTTTTGAATACCCAGGACACTTTTTGAAATTCCCTAGCCATTTTCGAAGTTTTTTTTTTAAATCACATAATTGATGAAAAAACATTAATTTATTGAATTTATTACATATAAAGTTGCTAATTTCCATATTTTTTTTATAATTTATTAGATACAAATTAATCGATTTTATTAAATTAGAAAGAATATTTAGTATAAAATAAAGTTAGGAAAATAAAAGATAGTCAATTAGAAATATATATTATATAAATGAATTTAGAACCATATAGATATAATAAATATAACTCTTAATAGTCTAGAAGTTAATCTGTTCTGTATGAATCTAAAAAAACTTGAAGTGAATCTGGCCTATATGAATCTAAAAAAAATATAATCTAATAGTCTAGAAGTGTATCTGACCTATACGAATCTAAAAAAACGTAGTCTACTATCTAGAAGCGTATCTAACCCAAACGAATCTAATAGTCTAGAAGTGTATCTGACCTATATGAATCTAAAAAAAAACATAATCTAATATCTTGAAGTGAATCTGGCCCATATAAATCTAAAAAAATATATAATCTAATAGTCTAAAAGTATATCTGACCTATATGAATCTAAAAAAAAACGTAGTCTACTATCTAAAAGTATATCTGACCCAAACGAATCTAATAGTCTAAAAGTTAATCTGTCCTGTACGAATCTAAAAAAAAACATAATCTAATATCTTGAAGTGAATCTGGCCCATATAAATCTAAAAAAAAATATAATCTAATAGTCTAGAAGTGTATTTGATTTATACGAATCTAAAAAAAATGTAGTCTACTATCTAGAAGCATATCTGACCCAAACGAATTTAATAGTCTAGAAGTGTATCTGACCTATACAAATCTAAAAAAAATGTAGTCTACTATCTAGAAGCGTATCTAACCCAAATGAATCTAATAGTCTAGAAGTGTATCTGACCTATACGAATCTAAAAAAAATATAATCTACTATCTAAAAGTATATCTGACCCAAACGAATCTAATAATCTAGAAGTGTATCTGACCTATATGAATCTAAAAAATGTAGTCTACTATCTAGAAGTGTATCTAACACAAATGAATCTAATAGTCTAGAAGTGTATCTAACCTATACGAATCTAAAAAAAATGTAGTCTACTATCTAGAAGCATATCTAACCCAAATGAATCTAATAGTCTAGAAGTATATCTGACTTATATGAATCTAAAAAAAAATGTAGTCTATTATCGAAAAGCGTATCTGACCAAAACTACTAGACTAAAAAGAAAACCGAATACAACTCCAATACCACTAGACTAGAAAGAATGAATCCAAGACCACTAGACTAGAAAGAACGAATCCAAGACCACTAGACTAGAAAGAACGAATCCGGAACTACTAGACTAGAAAGAATGACTCCAATACACTAAACTAGATAGAACGAATACAAATCCAAGATAATTAGTCTAAAATAATATATATGAATCTAATTATATTAGTATAAAAAACAAATAATATATGATGTATTAAATAAATAAATAAATTGAACATAATAAATATACTTATTGAAAATAATATTATATATATGAATGATATAGAGAACGAGTAGGTAAGTGTAATGATTTAAAATCTAGAGTAATAATAAAAAAGAAAAAAAAACATTAATCAAATTAATATTGATTATGAATTAAAGACCATAGTTATAAATCTAATATCACTAGACTAGATTAGACAAGAGAGAACAAATATAAGAAAAAAAATTTAAACTTTATAGAATTAAAATTAAATATAGATGAAAATAAATAGTAATGAAGTTGTGGGCAAAAATATGCAAGTATGTTATATAAAAGCTTAGTATATTGTTTTCGCAAAAATAATTTTTGGTCACACAAAACTAATGTTGTGTAATGTTATACAAATTTAATTTTGATAAATAGGTTTCTTTGAACAAAACTGACCCAAAATTAGGTTTATTTGAACCCAAAATTATAGTTTAGCGATAAATAATAAGTAAATAAATAAAATACTTAATTAAGCGAAAGGATAACAGCTATATAGTTATTGACAACTATACTATTTTTCTATATTCATATATTTATGTCATCAATTTAAACTTTTCTCTTTGATAAAACAGTAATGACATAAAATACAAAAATAAGAGAATTTTAGAGCAGTCGTCAATAATATAGCTACATAATAATAAAAATATCTCTTTTAAGAATGGATCTTTATCCCTATTAGAATCCTTTACGATTTTGATTGCTATATCTTCATATGACCCTGATTGATTTAAATATTTGGTTCTAAAAACTGTAGAAAATGCTCCTTTATCTATTTCTTCAATATTTTGGAATTTTGAATATACTGTCCAATAAAAAAACTCTTTTTTTTCTGCAGTAGTTTCAGCTTTTTCAGTGATAGCAAATTTTAAATACCATTCGAAAGCAATATCTATATCCTTTTCAACAACATCTTCTTTTTGGTAATATTTACTAACAGAATACATTCCATCAGGAAATCTCATCTCTGCTCGAGCATTGCTAGTTTGAAAATCTACATAAAGCCAAATAGCTGTGTCAAAAACCAATTGGAATGTTAAGTGTTGCTGGTTTGAAGATCTATATATGTCATGTGTTGCTGGTTTGAAGATCTACATAAAGCTAAATATTTGTATCAATAACTTAAAAAAAAAATTCGAGTCAGTTATTTCTTAAATTTTTTTCAAATTTGAAAGCTTATTATCTCATTTGTTAAATATTACTTGCCTAAATTTGTTTAAATTTGCTCTCTAAGTAAAGTCTTTAGTGAAAATAATCTATACTGATTTTTTTTCACTAAAGATATATAAAGGGGTAAAAAAATACTTTAAAGTGGTTTTAAAAAAAATTTATTGTATAAAACCATGAGTTGCCAATTGACGATGTAGTTTTTCATAGTAAGAGTTACTTTAAAAAATTTTATTTATGTTGTGTAACTCAGAGATCTTCAAGCCAATCAAATCAAATATCCACTATGCTATAGTAAACTGAGTCATATTATACTATGTTTATTCTTCAGTTGACTGGAGAATCATCAATTAATAATACTATTTACTATAGTTAGACCTCCTAACTGCACGTCATCAGGACTGGCTCTAATACGTGTATTTAGGGAGCTGTAATTAGAAAATAGCCAATAATATCACAGTAAATCTGCCGTCATATAATTATGATTATTACTATAGTATAAACTATTTTCATATTTTATAATATTACAATATTCAATATTATTTGACAAGTTTTTTTTTGTTTTTTTTTAATAACTCTTTATTACTTTATTTTTCAATTTATGTATTGTTTATTTTATATTTAATGATCTCTAACCCAAGTTACTTAGTCAATCAATTGAAATAAAGTTTCAAGGTTCACTTGTTTAAAAGATGCACTTCGACTTTTTCTGATTGTTTTTTGTAACTGTAATAAAGCTTGATCGTGGTCCAACCAGTCTTTATCACTTAGATCCTGTTGAATAAGGTAATGTTCTAGCACCTTTATAGTATTTAGCACCTCGTGGTGGGTAATGGGAGAGATTTCTCTACTATCAACTTCGTCTTTACTATTGTCATCATTTGAATTATTCTTGGGTTCTATGTTAGTAACCAAGTTAAAATTTCCTGTTTATTCAAGATTTTATTTGTATCTTCTTTCTCTAGGTAATTATATAGACTTCAAGATCTATTACATTTCGAAAATTAAGTGCTTCAATATTTGCTTTCATCTTTTCCATTAACTCATCATTATTATCATTAGTTATTTTGAACAACTGGAAGGATCTCTGTATGCCAGAAACAATTATATACCTATTAGATGGGGTGAAATTATTAAGTTTTAACAAAATTAATATTTTAATAAATTACTTACTATATCATCACAGAATAACACCTTAAGGCATTATTCTGCGACAATACAGTATACTATTTAATTTTTTTTTTTAAAAAAAATTTGGCAGTCATGCTTTAACTTTATTAGACTTTGTACAAATCTTCTAGATTGGTAAAATTTTACACAAGGTTGCAATTCAGAAGGTAAGTGATAAACTCTTAACTTGTCAGCAGATAGTATATAAGAACTATCTCTAAACAACAAGCACAGTAGCATTAAATCTAATGTTATTTAAATTACAAGTTAAAACTAAACCAGTTACTCTAATTGGTACCTATGTTTGACCTGCTATAGCAAGATTTCTCTCCTTTCGGACCCCTCCTGCAATTGGATATGACCCAGCTCTCAACAGTGGACCTTGCTGCCTGTCATGACTACCTTCTCTTCTTTTAGACTTCTTCCACCTAAGCCCGACAACAAAATTAAAACCCTTATTCATACATAAAAGTGAAAAAAATAACTCTATCTATACATAAAGAAAAAAAGATGAAAAAAGCAAAAAAAAAACAGGTGAATCTGATATATATAAGAAACA